GCAGTGAGTTGAATTGAGCCATTTGTAGTGCTTTATAATTTAACTGTTTCTTTCTTGTATTATATATTTATCTGTATATGATTTAACAGTTCATTCTTGTTTATTATCCTTATAAATAAATATATTGAACTATCAGCAATTTGGTTTTATCTCTCTAGAGAACCCTGTCTAACACAGTAACCATTTGTGAGAATGCTACATAGTAGATCAAGCAGTTTGAAACAAAATTGCATCAGGAAAAAGACTGGGCTTATTCATATTAAAACATGTAATCATTCATTTGATCAACAAATAGTTTTTGTGCTAAATGTTAAAATATCTGAGCATGACTGAAATTTTTTACCAATTCTCATACAGCTTATAGTCTGCAGATGTTATTTTTGCTATATGTGAAAGTTAGATTTAGAAATTAGGCATGTACATCTTTGGGGGACCATTATTTTAACACAGAGCATCCCAAGAAAGTCCCAAATTTTGAATATGAAATAAATTCTCACACCAATTGTAATTGCATAATCTCGTGTCAACTTAAGGCTATTAAGAGTGTGGGGGGGGGGAGTCCAGCCTGTCAATCACAATGATCAACATATAACCCCCTCCAAGAGGGGCAGACAACAGAAAGTGGGTGAAGGGAGACAGCTGTCAGCGTAAGACACGAAAAAAAATTATCAAGGGTTCATGAGGGAGGAAGGGTGGGAGAGTGGGAGAGGGGGGGAAACGAGCTGATTCCAAGGGCTCAAGCAGAAAGAAAATGCTTTAACCATGATGATGGCAACCTACGTACAAATGTGCTTGGCCCAATGGATGGGTGGATGGATTGTGACAATAGCTGTAAGAGCTCCTGATAAAATGATTTATAAATAAATAAAGTGTATGTGTTGGAGGTCAGACAGAGGGTGCCACAAATTGGTACAGGCAAAACCAAATCTCACCATTACTAACTCTCCCAGGGGGAGAAATAGCAAATCGCTGTTGGGTAACTGGCCAATTCTCTAGCGTTGCAGCAACTATCGCCAGTCACTGCCACCCACTATTTTTTTATTTTACACCAACAAGTCTTTGGATTAGGTGGAGTATTTGCATTAGGTGTTTCTGGCAATGTCCAGGGATCACAGTTGTTTACTGTATCTTACAACCTAACCCTACCTCCTCATCCTGGCTTTTCTACCTCTGGAAGAGAGTTCTATGCTCCTACCAAACCAAAACCAAACTCGCTGCCATCAAGTTGATAGGACTCACTCATAGTTGTCTGACACATAGCAACCACATAGGGCAGGGAGGAACTGCCCTGTGAACTTCCGAGGTATAACTCTTTACTGGAACAGAAAGGTCCGTCTTCCTCCCCAGGAGCGGCTGTTGGTTTTGAACTGCTCACCTTGCAGTTGGCAGCCCAACTCATAATCACCATGCTGCCAGGGCTTCTTTTACTGTAAGCATCCTGATTGTCCCACACTTTACTGGTACTGGGTGCTGTGGGAGCGCCCACCCACAAGACTGTAAAACTCAAGTGTGGGACAATCAGGAAGTTTAGGAAAACACTAGGGGTGGCAGTGACTGGTAGCAGTACAGTCAGAATGCTCCTTAGAAGCTAGAATGCTAAGACTTCTCACTGCTGAGACTGGAGGTCTCAGGATGCTAAGCTAGGATACTTGACTTGAGCTCGGATGCTAAGACTTCTCACTGCTGATGCTAAGACTTGAACATGCTGTTGGGAGAGACAAGGCCCTGGAAAAGGGCATCATGCTTGGTAAAACAGATCAGCAGAAGGAGAGAGGTTCTCAAGGAGATGGATTGGCACAGTGGCTGCATCAATGGGCTCAAGCCTAATCATTGTGAGGATGGTGCAGGGCTGGGCAGGGTTTCCTTCTGTTGCGCCCAGGGGGGCCATGATGGCACCTAACATCACCATCTCTTGGCACCTAACATCTCCATCTCTTTGGCACCTAACATCACGATCTCTTCATTAAAAACAGCTCAAAGAAGTGGGAGCCCAGCAGGAGGGAAATGATGAAGAAAAAAAAAAAAGAACACCTGGAAACGTTTTTCAAACACGGAGCTCTATCTACTAAGTGTTCTTTAAATCATTGGTAAGGAGGAAATTCTAGGTCTATTTTTTTCAGGCACAATAAATCTCTCAGGCCTTTTATCTCACTCAAGATAGAACTTCTAGGGTAACACACCACAATGTAGTACTTCGACAGTGGACCGCAGGCCCACCCCACCAGCATTGCCTCTCTGACCTTGGTTCTTATGATTCACCCCTCTGCCTGCTTCACTCCACCACACGGTCCAGGCAAACCAAAGATGGTCTCCCCTCCAGAGCTCCCCAGGTACTGTTTTCTCCACTTGGAATGCCCCTAGACCGTGTCATTTAGCGCTCGCCCCTCCACCTTCTTCAGATCTTTGTGCCCCGGTCACTTTTGTAGTGAAATCTTTCCTCACCACCAACTTTATCATTGTACAGCAAACAGCCCACAGACGAAGCCTCCCAGAAAAAAGCAAAGACGAAAAACCTGTACACACCCAGGAAACTCTTATAGATTGTGGCAAGAGAAGAAAAAACAAGTAATTGCTCCTTTTAAAAGAAAGCCTGCCATTTTTCCACCAGGGGAAACGCAAAAAAAGACTTTTTATGGCGAGGCTGAGGGTTGGGGTTGGGTTGGCTCGAAAGATGGGATTACAAACTGCTTCCCTTCGAGAGAAGGCAACCAGGCCCCCAACAGTACGGGGTGGCCCAGAAACTGTCACCGCCACAGAGACGCCCAAGGGGGCTGAGCCCAGCCACTAAGAACTGTCCTTCCCCCGGGTGTGTGGCTCAGGCTCCGAAGGGCCAACGCTGCCTCGTCATATGGGGGCCGAATTCCCACCCAGGACACGGTGGGGCTGCGGGAGCCTTCACTTGGAGGTGCAGAGGAGAGACAGCGTTTGGCCTCCTGCGAACTCCCACCCTGGTGGCTCCCACAGCAGCGGTTCAAGGACACACAGCAGAGGTTTGGAGCACTTTGGAGACCAGCCCCTCTGAGGCCTCACCCCCACCCCCCCACCCCCCACCCCGGCCACCACCGGAAGCCCTGCTGACAAACGCACAAAGCCTTGTCCAAGTGCCTTTGGATTTTTGTTGTTTTGCCTCTAGTAGCATGGAAAACAGCCAGATCAAAAAGCCGCTCGCTCCTGCGGTCTTGGTGGTTCGACCCTGCCTTTTAGTCCAGTTTTTACACGAGAATTTTAGCCTGGCAGTGGACAATTACAAGAGGGGTGTCTGGTTTTGTTTTTTTTAACACTTTTGAAATGAAATGTTTTTGTAGTTACTGCGTATGTACCCAGGGAGCTATAAAGTAGTGGTGGTGGTGTTTTTGCTTTTGGTGGGGTGTGTCGGTTTGGTTGCTGGTTTTTGTTTTACACTTCTTTGGTATGGTTTAAGTCTGGTGATTGGACCACAGTTTGCAGTTCATCCTCACGGTCACAGAGACTAGACGCACCCATCTGCACACAGCCTGGTGCCTACTCAGATTCAGAGGTGGTTTGGTTTGGTTTGGTTTCAAACCCCTCTCTCGTGATAAGGCTGTTAATGTCTTAGGGAAATAATAATAAAATAAAACTATGACAGATTCCCTTGTGTAAGCTTTTTGGAAAACATTCAACAATTTTATCCAAATTTTAGATTCCCACGATAAATGTCTTTGACAGCTAAAAAAAAGCACCAACCAACAAGTCATATTTATTTGTTTATCTTTATCTTGTCATGCTAGCATTCCATGAGGCTAGGGCCTTTGCCTGTTTTATTCATTGCTATTATTGGCAATAAGATTCCTCAGAGGGGCAGTTTGCTCTAGATGACCAGCCTAAACATTGGCCGTCAAACCCAACCAGAGGCACCACGAAAGAAAGGTCTGGCAGTCTGCTGATGTAAAGATTACAGTCAAGAAGCTCTCTAAAGCCCAGGTCTTTCTGTAACACCTGGGATGGCCATGAGGCAGAAGGGACCTACATGGCAGGACATTCCCTGGGTGATGTAAATGGTTGACATGCTTGGGTGCTAACAGAAGGTTCTGACAACTACCCCCCACATTCTCTACTATAAACTTACTCGATGGAGATAAGGGCACAGGTGCACAGGATGGCAAGCAGTCTCTTGGTTGAATGAAAAACGAAAAGCAATGACGAAAAGCAATGACTTCGGTGTCCATTTAGGGTACAGAAAGTTGGAAGCGTATCCCTTCCACCTTAGACCATAAATGATGTCGAACAATCCTTGGTTCTTTGTATGAAAAAATAAAGTGAAGATGTTAAGCCAAGCAGCACTTTAACTCAGTAAGTAAAGTGAGAGGTCAGAACTGCAGGATTTCCTAAATCCAAGGACCCCGTGTGCTGCAGATGGAAAATGTCCCATCTAAGGACACATCATCATCTCAGGACTGGAGTGATGGGAGCAACACGCATCGCCCCACCCCCAGCTCCCCAAGAAGCAAAACCCTGGTTTGTTCTGGGGAAGAATGGGTCGGGAAGTAATTTGTGGAATGTGGAACCCAACTGGCTGACGGCACTCACCCAGGGAGTAAAACTCACTCCCCGCTAGCCAAAAGGACAATCTTTACATTTCAAAGGACCTAAAGCTCCAGAACCACTAACCCGCCACCTCTCCCCTGCCCTCTGAACGTGAAACCCCTGATGACTGGATAGACGAGAAGGGGGGGCAGTTAGTATTTTCACTGAGTGCTGCCCTGCTAGAGCCGTAGTACCCCCTTCATCAAATTCCCCTTGTCTCTCGCCTGGGAACGCAGAGATTTTTTCCTCTGGCACTGCAAATTCACGGCCGAACCAACCCGTGCTGCTGGCCAAGCAGCTCTTCTTGGACCTCAAGCCTGGCCCTGACTCAGCGTCCTTTTAGTTTCTGTTTCCTGGAGCCGGACGGGCATCCGATTCACTTTCTAGTTCCCGCGGGACCCTGACTTTCACAAAGGCAACCGCGGTGGCACAGACCCCGCGCGCAAACGCCTCCACGCGCAGCCCGTGCCGCGCCGTGCGCCCCGGACGCGCCGCGCCCGTCGCCCGCTGCGGGACAGCCCCGGTGCGAGGAGAACGCCCGGCGACTGCCGCCTCCCGGGACGGCCAGGCGAGCCCGGCCACCATGGAGTAAGGGCTCCCCGCCCCGCCCCGCCCCGCCTCCCCGGCCCGGCTTAGGCCTTTGTTCCCAACCGGCGCTGCCACCGCGCTCCGTTTCTTCCCACGCAGCGCCGCGGCCCCGGAGCGCCTACCTCCCCGGCCCGCGGCTCCCAG